CCAACAGAGGTTTTTCAGAACCCTAGTTCCACTATCCCGCAAGGTGCCTGAGTAATTCGGGTCCTTTTCAGGTCACTGGCTACCTCTGTTGGATTTTCCCGAGCACTGTCCGAGGATCCCACCCGATCGTCCGTGTGTCGTGTCTCAGGAAAGCTCATGGACCGGGCCCGTTGCCTGGTCTTGCTTAAAAGTTTTTTTGGTCTTTTTCCCTGTGGGTGGATCCCCTAAGCACTTCCAATGGGTGTCCAATGGAGACCTATAAGATCCTATAAGTAAGGCGTAGGGTTGTCCAGCCAGGTAACCCCGAACGGAAGCAGTTCTTTTGTATGTTGCTTTGATTTTTTCTTGCCCGGCTTCCGAATCAGCCACACACACACACACCCAGGTTTGGAGGCCTCCCAGCTGAAGCCCAAGATGTCCAAGGGCGCCACGGTCATCGAGAACCGCGTGGTGGACCCCACGGAGTCGCCGAACGCGCTGCGTGGGGATTGGACCTTGTTCATGCAGGAGCAGGGGCTGACTGGACCTAAAGGCCAGCTGACTGGACCCAGATACTGTGGGTGGCCGAACGCTTGATAGGCTTGATAGGCCGGGAGGAAGAGCTTGATAGGGTGCTGGTTGAGGGATGAGCAAGGCATGGAACAGAGACGTAACCCTGAAGTGGATTCTTTTTGTGCTGATCACTGAGTCACCACGACGACTGCTACTGCCCACCTGCAGCTGGTTCTCCCACGCAGGCCCAGCGCCCACCCTGACAATGTTGGAAAGCGCCCTGACGGATTTGGGCATGCAATTGGACCCCAGGCTGCGGCGAAGCCGGCTGCAGTTGCGCATCACGGAGCGTTGTGATGGGATGTTGGCCTGTTATGAAGAAGGAGGGAGGGTGGGAGGGTGTGGATGGAGGACCATGGCGCGGCGGCCAAGCACATCAAGTTTTGTTCGGTCTTTTGCTGGAGGTGCTTGAGAATTCGGGAATGCTGAAGCATGCCGAGAGATGGCATCCAGCCCTGCAGGTGGTGCATACAGCGCTCATTTGGACAATGCAGATGGAGATGGACGAGTGGATGGCCGAGTTTTGACCATGGTGATGCCACTGGGCTTAGTGATAAACCGTTGAGTGTGTGTGGACATGGCAACGCAAGGGCGCAAGAAGGGTTGATTGGAAGATTTAGAAGTCATTTGATTCACTGAAGCTAGGAAGCAACCAGCTTAGTGAAGCCTCATTGCAGCAAAGTAAAACTTTGTACGTATGTTTCTTGCTCTGTTTTCGTGCAGATGCCATTGAGCAGGTACTTGAATCAGAACTGGGACCGCCGAGCAGGGGGAGAGCTGGCCATCTTCGAGCCCGAGAAAGGGGAGTTGGGCGATGAGCAGGTGGAAGGGAAGCTCACTTGGCTGTTGGGGACACATTTTCTATCATTTCTTGATACATTTATCCATATTTATTCTGAATAATACATATATATATATATATTATTTTACCGTTACCTAAGTTTTACCTGTAGACTCTAGGCCTTTCAGCAGCTGATTTTCATTTCTCTTCGGAAGTGGAGAACATCTCAGGAAGTGGTACATGGTCTCTCCAGAGGCGAATACCTTGGTTCTTCTCCTGGCGGACCGCGTCCTGCATGAGGTGCGAAGTGCCTATGCGGAGCGCTATGCCTTGAGCATGTGGTTCTGTGGGCAGCACGCGGAGTATGGCGGGTCCTAAGCACACCGAATCAAGCAGGCCGGCCGGCCACGGCCAGGAGGGTTCCTTTGATAGTCTTTCCCCAAGAGATCTTAAGAGGAACGGAAATAAGATGCATATATATATATATATATATGCAAGATGTATGAAATAGTAAGAGGATGCTTTGGAGGTGTGGTGTTTTCTGGTAGCAGCTGTCCTGACTCGAGATCAATCCAATCTTGAATCCTTCGCCTCGTCTCGTCGTCGCAGTCCCCGTCCCGCGCGGAGGTCCTCACCGTCGCCGCGCGGGGTCGGTCCACTCCACTCTGGACGCCGTGGTCTCGGCTGCGGTCGTCGGCCGCGGAGGAAGGAGAGCGAGTACATCATGGAATCGGAATCCCACCAGTGGATTCGGCGGATTTGAGATGGACTCTGCTCTAGTGACTCTAGTAGTGCTCTAGTAGTGACTCTGGGATCTGAAAGAAGTGATGGGGAGGAAAACATGGCGTGCGTTTGGGCCCTTGCCGAAGGAAGTGCTGCGGTTTGGCGGCTTTGCCACTCATGGAGGTTTGGCATATTTCTCATGTACAGAACTGATTTCGCTGGAGTTTGGCTCCAAGCTTCATGGTCAGTGCCAAACGGAATTGTGGCGTATGCGGCTGGTCTGAATTCGCACGCGCTGGTCTGGTGGGCCACGTTTTTCCGTGCCACATCTCCTTTGTGATGAAACAACCGCCCTTCCATTCTCCGTCTCATGCGTTCCGGGTTCCCCACCGACCATCCACCGTGCATGCTCCACCGTGTCCACCTTCACACCGAGGTCTGTTCAATCGTCTTCCCGTCTTCCGAGCAGCGTCAACGAGACCGGCGCCGCCGTCTTCGATCCGCGGTGAATGGCGACGGTGCTCCGCTCTCCGCTGGCGACGCTGGCGTGGTGGCCCCTCGCCCGGGGGCGGGCGTTTGGGGTGGCGTGGGGCCGGTGGCCGGTTCCAATCGCGGGTGTCCCATGGGAAGACTTCTCCAATGTACACTCCTTGAAATCATGAAAGTGGAGAAAACCATGAAAAACCGTTTGTCATCATCCCCAGGGGCCATGATCATCCGCAGGGGCTATGCATGGCCGTCGTTCGTCTACTAGATATGGCACTTGCAACGTTGGCGATGCTTTTGGAGCCGCCAATAGCGGGTTTCGATCGTTGAGACCCTTGGTCAGTTCAAGAGTTCCAGGACACTTGTGGATCAAGGGCCTCCACCTCTACTGCTCTTTGCCTTTTCATTTCCCGAGTTTCACAAAGACCATGCCATCTTCACGATCGTTCTTCACTGCTCGAGAGTGCGTTGTACTCGAAAAATGGCTTCGCCTACCTGATGCACCCAGAGTTTCTTCTCCCCATCTAATCAATTCGAGGCTCTGTTTGTGGCCGACCGCTTCGTCGGCGCGGCTGGCAGAGACCGAGCTGCTGGGGCCACCCTTGAAGATCGTGGTGAACTCCAACCCGCACTATGCCAGGCGGAGCCGGAGGGGCGGAGGAACGAGAGACGAACGAGAGGAACGGGAGAAGAACATCTTTGCGGAGGTTTTTGGGTGGAGGAGACGAGGGGAAGAAGTGGGAGGATGATAAGGCCGGGGGGAACAGGGAAAGGGACATGGAGAAGATGCGGAACATCTCAGAACATGTCAGTAATGTCTTGGTACTCCGCTGTCTATGAACCTGCCAACCAATGCCTCCGCAAACCGCATGCCTCTGCTTCTACCACACTTCTCATCAACACACCTTTTCAGACAGGACCTCCCACTCCTCGCCTTTGTCCCACGTCGATGTCCCACCTTTGTTGCCCCACCAGACCATCCAGTCCTGTCCCACGGACCATCCACCGCCCGCGGGTCGTCCGATGACGCAGCGGTGAGTGCTCACCGCCAGGCCACGGGCTTTGCTCATGGGCACACTCAAGGCGGGGCCTGGCGGGGTGAGCGAGCGACTGGACCAACGAGCAGATGCTTCCGGGCGGTCTTGGGAAAAAGCCCTGGGTTTTTGGGTCTCTCGTTTTGCAACTTGTCTTGCGGTAGTCATGAGTCCATACCTGCTATGACCGGACTCACAGGTCTTGGTCGTCAGATATTTTTTGTGGTGAAAAACCAGGCCGCGTATCGGGAGACTCCACAGGTCCTGGCCATGTGTGTGTAGTCCGGGTAAAGATGAGTTCTTGGAGCATTTTGACACCAGATGAACCCATGTGAACGGCCCTTTTTTTCAGGAGACCCACCCGTGGATTCCATGTCCTTCTTGGCTTCCTTCTGGAACAAAGAACGTCCCGATCCCTCCTGGGGGAGAGGAAAAGACATGGATGCAGCCCATCGCCATCGCAGAATTCAGGCGGCCCAGTTCCAAAACTTCTCAGAGATGATCGTGGTCCTAGGAGGCTCTCAGAAAGACCAGGCTGGGGACGACCGTAGAGACCATGGGGGCACGTGCTGCTTCAAGGGAGATTGGTGAATGAAGAGCTGGGATGAAGCAGTTCTTGGGAGGATCATTTGACTTGGAAACTAGAGAAACTCTTGGAGCTGTTCGGACATGCCGCAAATTCCGGGAGTCAATGACCAGCTATATAAATCCCCAGGAGTTTTCGCTACAGTACAACTACAAGCCCAAATCATGTGCGTCCTGCGTGTTGCTTTTCAGCGACCGGTTCCACGCCGCGCCCCGCGCCCCCCAATTCCGGCACGGCAATGACGACCGGACGACCGGACGCGACGACGGGTTCCGTGCAGGTCTACAAAGATGGAGACATCACGGTGGTGAGAGACTTAGAAAAAGCTCCAGCGTCGTTGAACACCACACCGCCAGAAAGACAACAATAAACAGATAGACATGTCATGAGGGTATGACGTTGATGAACATGTTCCAAATGGCAAGAATCAGATGTCTTTTTAATCGACGCCCATGGGAAAGCGACCGTTGACACGACCGAATCCGCGGACGTCGCGGAGGTGGAGACGACCTTCATGAGCTACGACCTCACCGGCCTCTCGATGCTTTGGCGTCACCGGAACCACCCCTGGGTTCGAGCTCAGGCTCGGCGCCTCGAGTCGGGTGGAGCAGGTCCGGTCGTAAGGACGGATGGTGGGGGTATGGGGAGTGGAGAGGCAAGAGATGGCAAGAGAGAATACAAAGAGGCTCCGAGTTATTGGGACAAAAGCTGTTCTTTTTTTGCCTTGTGTGCACTTGCTAATTTTCGCGAATCAATTGATTATTTGCAGTCTAGGGCCTAGGGTTTTCAGGTACCTTGGAGCCACTGGGGTTGCTTTAAAGAAAGATTTGTTTGATTGGTGTAAATCTATGTAAGGCAGCTTTGTACACAGTCATTAAGTAATAAGTAATAAGCGAACGTCGGGAGTTACCGGAAGTGGGCTGCGTGGCCGCACACTATCCGGGGAAGCTGGCAGGTGGCCCCCCGAACAGATCCGAAGTGCAAGCATGAGGTTCCATGGACACATGTTTGACCCTTTTTCACTGCCCATAGGGTGGGCTCGAGAGCCGTGCGGGAAAACCGCGCGTAGCGCGCCTCGGTCCGTGGTCGGACCCCTTTTGTCCTTGTGGTAGGACCGCTTTCATGGTAGGCGGAGCTCTGGCTACATCCAGGTGACCTTCGAGGAGATCCTGGCGGCAAGGGCTGATGCCCACTGAGGAGGTCCCAGTGTGGGACGGAGACCCGAGCTCCTTCGAGGCATTCGCCACGTCCTGCAAGTGGTTTGATTAATGCGCTCTGAAGGACAGCGAGAAGAAGCTCGCAGCCCCGAAGATTTGGCAGCGCCTCTCCGGCGCCGCTAAGTCGGTGGTTCGCCATCTCGACCCCAAGGACTTCAGCTCGGACACAGGCCTGGAGAAACTACTTCGGGTACTTCGAGAAAGCCCTCTCCAGAAGCTCCCCATCCCCGACTCGTTTTCGAGATTGGAGAAATGGAGTGGCCTCAGGAGGGGCCCCAACGAGAGCATCCCGCAGTTGCTCGTCCGAGAAGAAGAGCTGTTCGTGGAACTCCAACAAGCTCTTCAGCGAGCAAGGCATGAGCGTGCTCGGCATGAAGTCCGGTCGATGGCAGTGGGGGCAAGTGAACATGACCCTCCAACTTCACCAACCCGTTCGCCGAACGTGACTCGAGCAGGGTTGAGCTCTGGAAGAGATGAGGCCAGCTTTGTGGTGGAGGACGATGAACCTCCGCCGCCTCCGATGGTCGCGCCCTCAGGTGGCGCCGGGTTCTTCGAGAATGAGTTGAGGGGCTATCGACTCCTGAAGGCTTCGAAGCTGTCGCAAGCCGAGAGGCAACGTGTCTTGACGCCAAGCCCTGAGGTCCCTGTTTTCTGATGGTGCTGATCAGGCGGATGATCATCATGGCCGGTTCCCTCGCAAGACCGTCTGGTTCAATGAGGAGAACAACGACTGGGACCTTGAGGAGGAATGGTGGCCTGATGATGACTCTTGGTGGAGCGAGGCGGACGCCTATTGGGCTGACTGGTCCCCTTCGTCTTGGGATGATGGCTATGAGGCGGAGGAGACCTACGCTGGTCTTCATGATGACGGAGCTGGAGGGCAAGATCGCAGCACTGAAGAGATTGAGGGTGAGCAGCGGTTGGAAGAGGCCTACGCTCTCGCGACAGAGGCCAACAAGACCCTGGCGGAAGCACGTCAGGCGGTGGCAAGAGTTCGAGCTGCTCGTGGCTACTTCGATCCAACTGGCACCAAAGGCCATCCTGGACATCTTGGAGGTGGAAAAGGCAAGAGAAAAGGACCGCCCTCAGGGAAGAGCAAAGGATCCGGAGGATTTGGTCCGTGCTTCATCTGCGGACAACCAGGACACGGCTATGCCAAGTGCCCTGACAGATGGTCCGGAAAAGGAGGAAAGAAGGCAGCTTCATCGTCGCCTTCTTCGAGGAGTTCCTTCATCGGCAAGGGCAAGGGCAAGAGCGCCTCCAAGGGGAAGAAGGGCAAGGTCTTCTTCACCGACTACGAGGCAGAGTGGGTGCCCGACGTCTATGTCCTCAGCCTGACGGAGCGGGATGATTTTGACAGCATGTCCTGCAGCCGGGTGATCATCGACGCCGGAGCGACGGAGTCTGTGGCTGGCATCCGGGCGATGGCAAGGCTCATGGACTCTTGCAACTTCCTCTACAATGTGGAGCTTGGTGATCGACCACGTTTCCGCTTCGGGAATGGAGAGTCACAACGGGCAGTCAGCAAGGTTGTCCTCTACACTCCAGCGCTGTGCGAACTGGGCTTCTACTTGCTTGATGGTGGAGCCGAGATGACGCCACCATTGCTGGGAGCCCGTGAGCTGAAGGCCCGACGTTCGGTGATTTCATACCATGGGGACTACATGGCACATCGATCTGAGAGAGGCAACTGGTACTGCAGTGAACTGTCCCCCTTACCGAGTGGACACCTGACCCTGTACCTGCAGACTCCCAAGACGCCGATCCGGTTCCTGATCGCTCGCTTCAACACGAACCCAGGCACTGAGTGGCCTCCCGGTGGACCATCGTATGGTGATGAAGATGATGAGGACCCAGATGGTGATGATCCAGGTGCTCGAAGGCCGAAAAGACGAAGAGAAGATCCAACTGCAGCCCTGATCAGGGGCCATGCAACTGGAACTACGAGGCCTCCGGCACCGACTACCTCTGGGATGGGCCGCGCTGCTGAGAGGGGAGCCCACGTTGAGTCGGACGAAAGTCCCAACCTTTCTCCTTCTGTGGTGGTTGAACCAGAAGAACCACCTCCTCCAACGGCTGAAACTGCAGCTCGTCCAGCACCGAAGACTCCCTCTGAGCACCGAGAAACTTATGCGGCCGACACTGTGATCATCAGACATCCCTCGATCGATCTCGAAGACAGTGAATATCATGTTCATGAAGGTGTTCCCGAATCGAATCGAGGCTGTGAAGGTCAGGATTCAGTGATGGAGTCAAGTGCAGTCACGAGCGCTTCTTGTCATGGAGAACATGCACCTGTACATGAACCAGTTGATCATGCACATGGAGAACATGCACGGGTACATGAACAAGACGGTCATGCACATGAGGATCATCATTCCATTCACTCTCATGATGAATGTCAATCTGCAGTTGTGAATGGGACAATTTTCATGGTCCAAGAGGATGGAAACGATGATCTTTCCAGCCGCCTCAGCATCTTGGCTCAGCGCCTGAGAGAACACCAGGCCATCTACATCTCCTCTCCAGAGGATGAAGTCATGCCCACCGTCCTCGGATCACGATCCCCGACAAGTGGGATGGCCATGCCGTGGAGAACATCTTCCGGGACGAGAGCGCTCCAATGGCTCAGCGATGTGGCAGGCATGCAGCCGATGCGGCCTTCGACTTCGCTACGTGACCAAGGGGAAGGCAACCGGTCAGACACGGGCAGTGGGACCGCCTCCCGATCAGGTCGAGCAGGCCCAGGAGGAGCTGAAGTCGCTGTTTGCGGCCCCAGAGATGACGGAGAAGATCTTCAACGGGAAGTTGATGGAGATCAGAGGCCGGACGCTGGTGCAGAGCGGCGGACACAGCGTGCAAGTCCGAGCAGACGAGAAGTTGGGCGAGGCGATGATGGCCAATGCCTCGTGCTCGGGGAGCTACCCAACAGCGAGCCCAATGAAGCCATCCAAGGAGACCAAGGGACGCTCGCTATCGCCGACACCAAAGACTCCTGCAAAGAAGCCCATGACCCCGGAGGAGGAGTTGCAGCCGAGAAGATGAAGAACGCCCCGGTACGTGTGAAGACGGAGAAGACCGAGAAGGTCAAGAAGGCAACTTCATCGGCAGCTGCGATCCCAGTGGCCATGAGCGTCAACTCCGAGGAGACGGCGCAGGAGATCTGGGACAGCGATCCGGAGAAGACGGAGGAGGAGAAGGGCGACTAGCAGCACTGTGGAGCAAGCTGCGAGGCATCAAGAGCCGGATGCAACGGAATGTCCCTGACGGGACGCCTGCCAAGATCGGCTGGAGGCTGATGACGGCATCAATACCCTCACTACATCATTGAGCCCAACGCGACAATCTTCACCCTGGGATGGAAGAAATTCCACTACACGCACGACGAGCACTACGAAATCTTCATGCCCTATGTGTCCAACGAGCACTACGGCATCCAATTCTTCGAAGAGCACTGTGGCGGAAGAGCTCTCCCAAGTGGTCAACATGACGGAGAAGCAGGTAAGACCATCACTGGCTCGACGCTTGGCAACAGCGGCTGCTTTGACCTGCACTTTGATGGCACCGCTGAGGGAACTGGTGGGAGCGGTGACCCCTCAAGTTGATGTGATGGAGATTGCATGCTCTCCCAACTCAACGTTGACGACCACATTTGAAGAGCATGGATTCTGTGGTCAGCGCATCAACTATGTCACCGGCTATGACCTGAGCTCCAAGAAGGGAACAGCGAAGCTGGCCAATGCTGTGGTTGAGAGCAAGCCCAAATTGGCCTGGGTGTCCATGTCTTGCACTCGGTTGTCAGCACTTCAGAATCTTACTCCGAGGACACCAGAAGAGCTTGATCGTTTCCTTCAACGTCGTGGACAAGATCTACGCCGATGTGAAGAGGTGTCAATGTCACTGGAGCCGATCCTTGAGAACGGAGACGATGTGGCATGGGAATGGCCAACAACGGCAGTGGCTGGTTGGCGATCCAAGGCCATCGAGCGACTGAAGCGGCTCATGGACAAGCACCATCGGCAGATCTACTGGGTCCGCATCGACGGCTGTGCAGGGCGTTGCATTGAAGAAGTCGTGGACTATCCTGACTACCAGCCGTGAGCTCTGGCTGACACTGAACAAGAGATGCGACCGAAGTCATGAACATGCTCAGTGCCGTGGCAATGCAGCACAGTCATCTGCGTACTACCCTCCGAAGATGTGCCAAGCGATCTGCAAGGCGATGATGCACCTATGGCAAGGTCAAGACGCCTCCCTGGAGCGAGCAGCTGAACTCTACCTGCTGGACACCGTCACGGAGAAGGACATGGTGTCTTCATGTGACCTACCCCGGCGAGTTCCTCGATCTGATCCTCATGGTGGAGAG